TAAATTTAATTTTTGGTGAATGACGCTTTCTGGTTTGCAGCACTGAACGAATCATTCAATCCAACTGGATAGATAGAAGCAGAACAACATCAACAACAAGGGGCATCACGGACCATTACAAAGTAACCAACCAATGTCTAAGCACCTCGGCTCTACAAACAGCTTAATTGCAACGGTTCTAATGAAAGAAGTTTGAATCTCATAGGGAGATTATAAACACAACTTGCAGAAGTAATATCAATTAATATATAATCAAACCTTAAGGGTAGTAGTTCACGCCTCCAGCTCATATTTTTTATGACTACATGAGACCAACCTTTGCCCACCACGTTGTTTATATGTTTGAATTGTATGTAGTCAGTACGAACAAAATTCACGTTTACATCAATTTACCATAGTTTTATTTGTGAAAAATAATTGAACTTGAAGATCGTAAGTCTTAAAATTATTTTTACACCAAACTACTTGGAAAAAGCACTACTAGTATAAACATACACCTAATGTCTAGGTCTACATTTTTAAAACAGACGAGCAATGTTCGGCTTATTTTCTCTCTTCTTCTTTGCTATATGTGACCTACTTAATTCTAACAAGCTGTGATCTGTGGAGTCAATTGAATAGGAGCTGAAGCATAAGACCACCAATCGAGTGAATTGATGGTCCCAACATATTGCAAATTGACTGAAGTTGCAAACGTAAACCTCTGGATTTCAGCTCAATGATCGCTTTGTATTGTGCTAGCGGTGATATCGGGAGCTCTTTTGTTTGTGTGGGCATATTAGATCCCCAGAGCTCACTTGGTAAATATCTTATCTTTATAATTCTATTTTAAAAATTTGAATTTCTCGTTTTCGCGCCAAAAGCACCAATTTTTACCTTCATGTCATATTTTCCACTTATTTATTCATTTGGACACATAAATATTGGTACAAGTGGGCACCAAATATATATGCACCACACAAAACAATGAGAATGGGAAGAGAAAAACAATAAAAGAAGAGGGTGAGGAGCGTAGAGGGAAAAAAGAACAATAACGAACGGATTAGTGTAGGGTAGTGTAATAATAATAATGGGGGAAGCGGAAAGGTACAATCAGAAGAAATCTTTAAGTTAAAGAAGATACGACCACTTTTTATGAAGTCGATGTTTCAAGATGGTGACACCAATTGCATTATCGTCTCTGTGCCCGAACACTCGATGCCGAACCTTTGCATTACTTACATGGTGTTGCCACTGGATGCCAGCAATCCTTCGGAGACAACGATGATCAAGCACAGAGTCGTCTAAAATCCTCAACTCGGAGAGGCCAGGTTTCACAAGCATAGAGCAGAGCTGCGCTCACCGTCGCGTTGTAGATCCGACCTTTAACAGCCAGACTAACATCACGAAGGCGCCAAAGATGGCCCAGATTGGCATAAGCCGCTCTGGCTTTCACTATACGTGCATTGATCTCATCACTTACGCCACAACCAGCACTTATGCAGCTACCTAGATACACGAACCTCTCGACCACTTTTATCTGCTCACCGTCCAGAGTGAGTACAGGATTAGAATCCTGCCAGTCTTGTAGGAGTACTTTGCACTTCGAAGGTGCAAAGCATATACCATACCTACGGACATTGATTGTCAACTGATTAAGTGCGGATTGCATGGCTTGAACATTCTCGCACAGTAAGACAATATCATCCGCATACTCAAGGTCGAGAAGTCTTTCTCCAGGTAACAGATCCACACCACCATTACTTACATCCATCAGAGCTGTTTCCAGAATGTCATCGATGGCAAAGTTGAAGAGGAATGGTGAGATTGGGCAACCCTGCCTAACCCCACTGCTTGAATGGAATAGTGGAGAAAGGTGGTTGTGTGCCCTCACTCTGCCTGAGGTGTTTGTGTATAGGGCTTTTAGGATGTTAATAAACTTCTCAGGCACACCCTTCTTCAATAGACAGTCCTATCCAACGAATCGAAGGCAACCCTGATATCAAGAAACACTACGATTGTTGGCCTTTGATAAGTATGACGGTGTTCTAACACTTGGCGGAGGGTGAAGATATGATCAATACATCCTCGACCAGAACAAAACCCAGCCTGCTCCTCGCGAATCAATATTTCTCGGGTTCTGAACAACCTACGAAGTATGACGGAAGCCAACAGCTTGGACGCAATCGGAAGTAGACTTATCCCCCGATAGTTGTTACAGGAACAACGTGAACCCTTTTTAAAGATAGGGACAACTATCGACTCATTCCATGACGTTGGTACACTCTCTAGTTCCCAGACTTTTATAAACAACGTCGTCAGTCCCTTGGCCAGGAAGTCACCACCATCTTTAAAAAGAGCCGGTGATTTGTAGCGTTTCGAGAGTTGGAGTTCCTTGCGGACTTCCGCCTCATTTGGTGGATCAGTCGTCACCGGCCATGGAGGGCAGGACAGTCTGACCGATGTTGCTGGAGCAGCAGGCCAGTTGAACTGACCTTCGAAAAATTCTGCCCATCGTCCAAGAGGTCGGTGGATGTTAGCGATTGGCAACCTGTCATCCTCACAGTTTGTTTCACTCACACCAGACTTCTTGCTGCCAGTGGCTCGGATGAGTTGGAAGAGCTTCCGGTAATTATCAGATGCAGCTGCTGCTTCCAGGTCATTAGCACGCTCCGAACACCAGGCTTCTCGGTCCTTACGCAAGCTTTGCCCAATTTCATTACGTAACATCCTTCGTCTGTGGTCAAACTCACGGTCACCCGGAGTAGACCGACGGGCTTCAATCAGTTGTAAGGAACCAGAAGAAACCCAGTGCTTGTAAGCGGGACGTTTCGCAGACCCACAACAGACTGTACCCGCCATTTTCATGGCGTCATGCAATTGCAACCAATGCTCATCTATACTTTTCGGTGGAATGGTAGCTAGCCTAGAAGCTAGCTCGGTTCGGTACTTACTAGCAACAGAAGTTGCAGCCAGCTTGCTAACATCAATCCTTTGGTGGAGGACACTTCGTTGTCCACTGAAAAGCAAGGTAAGATTGGCGCAGACCAGAGCATAATCAGATTCCACATAGGTACTCCAAAAGGAGAGGCAATCTCGTACACAACCACGCTAGCGGTAGCTGATCGCGATGTGACCAATCTGAGTCCAGGCTTCAGATGCAGAAGGAGGACGCCAGGTGGCACATCGGCGATGACTGTGCCGAAAGTTAGTGCTAGCCAGAAACAGGTTGTGGTCTGTGCATAGTTGCAGTAGACGTTCCCCGTTATCTGTCCTGCGACCAACAAGTCTCCATCGGCCACCTAAACGACTCTCTTCTGTGCCTAGACGCTCGACCTGAGCATTCAAGTGTCCAGCTGATACTACAATATCTGTCGAGCGCACTTTCTGGAGAAGAACAGTTAACTGGTGGTAGAATTCATCCTTGATTGCATCCGGACTGCAATCTGTCGGGGCATAGGCGGAGATGACGAAAAGACATCGTTTCTCACGCACGTAAAACAAGCTTTTTGAAGCGACAGCTGGATAGCGAACTTGTAGTACTTCACCAGAGTCTTGAACACGGGTCTCGGATAGACAACACACGTCAATATTAAGACTTTCCAAAGACATAGCCAGCCCTATCTGTTGTCCGACCAGCATAAGTGTGCGAACGTTGAAGGTAGCCAGTTTGAATGGTGCGCGCGGTTTCAGAAAAACTGCTTCAGTACTCGTATTCGGTGGTGACACACAATTTCCAACCAGGCAGTGAGTCTAGAACGTTTAGATAGAACCGAGTTTTCACCATAGGCCAGCTGCTGTATAAGTCGAAGAAAAGGATGCATAAAGTGGGAATAAAAGAGTGAATAAATGACGTAGTAAATAATAGTAATAATAATAGTGTGAATTGATTGACTGTAAATGGAAGTGAGAATACTGCCCGGTTGCCCAGACCGAAGCAGGTGGTTTTCTTATGAGGCCACACCCCGAGCCTTTGACCTAAGGGTCTAGTCCACAAGGCAGTGTAGCATCGTGAGGAGATGCAGTCCCATGGACGCCGGTGACCAAAAGTTGGTTCATACGCCATTTGTTCCCGCAGGATATTGGAGCCCATGTGCACCACTGGTTTGGGATCCGGTTAAAGCGCCGGACATTCGCTTTTCGTCCTCTCATTTTCGTAAACAACACCCCCTCCACGAGAGGAGGATCTTAAACGCTATTGGTTCGTTGTACCTTTTTGTATGCTACTTTATAACGCTTCCCAAAGACATTTTTATGCTGTATATATACGCTTGCGTTGTGCTTGTTGTTGTTCGTGCTTCTGGTTGTTCGTGGGATATATTCCCCTCTTCCGAACTTAGACTTCTCTCTCTAGTTAGCGGGACTGGGACGCATCGGAATAGCTAGCTTATTGACAATTGTGTCACAGAGTCTTCGTTCCGTTCTCAGATTATGTGAACTCGTGATCTCTTCAAACATAGTAGATTGTGGACTGCTTGATCGCTTTTTAAATATCAGTTTATGATCAAAACTTTCCTGCATACTGAAAAAATCTTTACAAATCACTTTTTATAAAAAATTTATTGTTAATTGTACTGAGTGGAAGGAAAAATTACTAGGCATGTTTACGTAAAAAAGATCCGAATGAAGCGCCGGACATTCGCTTTTCATCCTCTCATTTTCGTAGACAACACCCCCGCCGAGAGAAGGCAGAGAGTAGGACTTCTCTGGCAGAGGCTATGTATGCGTGACCATGTGAGAGCATCTCGAGAGGAAGAGCTGACCCTCCCCACCCTCGGCCGTATCAGGGCATTTAGGGCGGTAATGATAACTAATAACTGCTTAGTTTTAAATACGTTAACATAATCGTAATTTGGTAATTATATATGCTAATAAATGAAAGAAAATTTCTATTACCTTATTTAGCATACGGTTTAATAGTTTTATTTGATACCTGAGTTGAAGAATTTTACTTCTGACTTAATTTAATCCATCAAATGAAACACAAATTTCGAAATCAAAAACGGATTTTTTAAGAAAGTGTTTTTAGTTGTTACATGTTGGACATGAATCTTTGAAATACAAGCATTAAAGTGTTGATAAACTTGGAATTTTGGTATTATTAATTGAATATTTAACGTTAATAGTTACACAAGTACGAATGCCTCATTTAAAGAACACTATAATCAAATCTAACTACTTGTTAATGATCAAGTTCTTTCCTTTTCTATAATGAATTGAACTAATGAACTTAATGAAACATTCGATGTAATTGTACCCGCCCCCCCCCCAAAGAAAAAACATGATAATAAAAGGAGATAATTTTTAAAGCATCCGGTTATTGTGAATTAAATTAAAACGGAATAAATTTCCTAAATGACATACTGTCATTATCATTACATTTTTATTTTGTTTTGAAAATAGAACAATAAAATATGAAAGAGTTTAACAATAAATCAATCTTCCATTCTAACGGCATAATATATACATAGCGACTTTCCACTAGCCAACTAAAGTTTTCTATTTGGTTGGCAAACCTTTTAATTGTGTGGATTTGTAGTTGTAAACAACATATAAGACTGCTCCAATAGTACTTTAGAAAGAGAACATACAAAAAAAATAAAGATAATTGAAAGGAGAAATTTCATAGTATCGATTTTTTTAACACGTTCTATTTTTTGTATGATTAGACATTGGGATTCTATGTGCGTAAAATTCTTTTCAATAGCTTTAAGATAAAAATATACTTATTCACGTGATGCAATCGAGCTCAAGTATATACGTCGTTTATAGAGGAGTACTATCGGACTCGTTATAAAGTACTTACTAGTGTGGTTCAATGAAAAAAAAATGCAGAAATATAAAATTATCTATTTTAAAACATGTAGCTGACCATAAACTTTGAGTTTCAGATTCATCTTCACCATAACATCCAATTATTTATTCAATGAATTGGGAAACACTGATTACATAGAGTGTAAAACCAGATTTATGCGCCTGATTACAACACTTATCGTTACCATAGTTACTGATGTACGTATGTACGAAGATCTACGTTGTTGATAACTGACTGAGTTACTGAGATAGTATTGTATTTTCCTTTGTTGTTTTTGGCCACTTTTGATTTTAAAATTACAGGAAATCTTAATGTCCCCAATTCATTACAATAAAACATATTCAATCAAACTTTACAAATGTTATTTATCTTTAATTGACAGATAATTCCCATTTAAACATTAAAAATTAAAAACACGAAGTTCAGCGAAGGGATCTCTTTTCAACGAATTTATTATCAAGCTGTACAATTTTTTTTGTTTTTGTAAAAGTACTGATTCCGTGAGGAAATGTGAACACAATTAACCAAGATGACGTAATAGAAAGATTATAATACTAGATTACGTAATACGAATAATAACAATAGATTTAGTGAATATAATACGATGATTAAAATGATTGAAATGTTTCTTGTTACAATAATTAAAGGTCATGAAAGGTGACAGAGGTGTAAGAATAAATAAGGTGATATGATGAGCATTTACGAATAAAATAATGAGAATATAAGTAAAAGGGGGAATGCAGTAATAATAATAATAATAATAATAATAATAATAATAACAATAATAGGATAATCAAAATACTTAAGGTTAAGGTAACGATAACGATAAGACGTACGCATAGTTCTGGTTTAAGCTCCTGGATGGTAAAAGCTTCGGCTATTTCTAAGAGTTGGATACGAATAAATCTGGGTAGATTTGAACGAATCATATAAACAACCTTAAAATCAAACTGTGGATCCGTAGAATGGTTACAGTTGATTAGGCGTTCAAGTATAGAACTCCTAACTGTTTTCCTTTCACCCTTATAGAACCAAGCTGGGATATGTTCTCGTATCCGAGTTGAAAGCGAGCGCTGGCTACGGCCAATGTACCTTGCTCCACAAGAGCAGGTGAACTGGTAGATGCACATAGAGGCGAGCAGAGGTGGAATCTTATCTTTTATGGATACGAAAAATAAGTTCCTACTAGTGAAGGTTATTCGCAGTTTAGCCGCATTAAATGTTCTTTTAATCGTTGTTGTTAGACGATTTTTGATTACGTCTGATGTTCGATCATCATTAAATTCCAGAATAATATAAAGGTTTTTCATCGGGACGGAACAATTAGGTTTCTTGTCACAACTACTTCTATTCATATTTTTTTCTATGAAACGTTCTGGGTAACCATATTTCGTCAAGGTTTTCTTAAGGAATGTGAGCTCTTCGTTAATAAATTCCGTACTACATATCCGATGTATTCGATTACTTAAAAAATGGATGAGGTTTCTCTTTCTACCTAACGGAATTCAACTATAGAAGTTGGTTAGCTGGCCATTCCATGTTTGTTTTCTAAAGACGGATCTTTTTAAAGAACCATTACTCCTTCTCATCAGGCGTACATCGAGAAAAGGAATTGATTGGTCTCGCTTCCTTTCTAACGTGAAGTCTATGGAAGGGTGGCATGAATTAAAGATATCATCTAAATCAATATTATCATCACAAACGACAAACGTGTCGTCTATGTATTTTACGTATAGGTGAAATCGATTGATCATTGAACTGAGTTGGTCGTTTTTTAGTTTTGCCATGAAACAGTCTGCTAAAATTAGACCCAATGGAGACCCCATTGCGATCCCATCCCTTTGTCTATATATTTCATTATTGAAACTGAACTGGACATTAAAAGTATAGCGTAGCAATAGTTCTTTCAAGTGTTCAGTCGGCAAACCTAGATTTATGTTGTTAGAATCAATATAACAATGAGAAGACGGAGTTGATCTGAAAAATGTGATGTATTTGCGCTATACATTTCGAACAATCTGGTCACACATATACTTGTCAGGGCATTTTATATGAAAATTAATAAAGGTCAATTACATGAAAGTTAAAGTACAAACAAAATTAACAAAGGGGAGAGAAAGGATAAGAAATTGTCGTATTATCCTAGGCCATAGAATGACTCAAGGATTACCAAGGTAAATTCAAGGTTACGACAAATTGTTTTTGTACACATAAAGGGGGCTTAAATTTACGAATAGCCAAGGCTTCTATAAACTTAAGAATTCGTCCTTGACAATTTCTATACAACGTTTTAAAAGCTGCATTAATATCAATTTTATGCCCCGTTTCAATTATATGTTTCGCTATCGATGACTTTTGCACCTATTAAAAGTTAATGCCAAGACCTCTTGTTTATTCGGTCCCAAAGAAAAAAGTTTACATCAATCTACCATATAGAGGTGAATCTAACAGCATAGTTTTAAGACAGAGATTGAAAGCAGCGATCGAGAACACCTATTATGCTGCTCAATTGATTGTGATTGAAAAGTCCAAGGCCATGATTCCTAGTAGACCCAGACAATGCACCAATGATTACGTCACATCCGATTGTATTTACCAAAATCAATGTGTGTCAAACGATCCGATCAACGTGGGTGGTAGAAAACCAGGGTCATCGATAGCGAAACATATAATTGAAACGGGGCATAAAATTGATATTAATGCAGCTTTTAAAACGTTGTATAGAAATTGTCAAGGACGAATTCTTAAGTTTATAGAAGCCTTAGCTATTCGTAAATTTAAGCCCCCTTTATGTGTACAAAAACAATTTGTCGTAACCTTGAATTTACCTTGGTAATCCTTGAGTCATTCTATGGCCTAGGATAATACGACAATTTCTTATCCTTTCTCTCCCCTTTGTTATTTTTGTTTGTACTTTAACTTTCATGTAATTGACCTTTATTAATTTTCATATAAAATACCCTGACAAGTATATGTGTGACCAGATTGTTCGAAATGTATAGCATCACATTTTTCAGATCAACTCCGTCTTCTCATTGTTCTATCGAAATTTATAAAAGGGACTAATTGCTTTAAAGAATCAATATACTCACATATATAACATATCGTTTCGGTTAAAGGTACACTGGTGAACAAAGTGTTAACGTCAAGTACTTTTACAAAAACGAAAAAAAATTTCATATATATACGATTGTACAGCTTGATAATAAATTCGTTGAAAAGAGATCCCTTCGCTGAACTTCGTGTTTTTATTTATCTTTATATGTGAAAATTATGTTTGAAATGATCTCAGCGATTGGAATTTTAAATAATTCCAACGTTTCGTCCAGCTAACTTGTCTGGACTTCTTCAGGGTAATAATCAAAATCATCAAAGAAATATATAGCGTTTAACAATAAAATCAGTTCAAATCTATACTGTGTTAACCCAATCATATTTGGATGCTGATTTTTAGTAAACAGAATAACATGAATAAGTTAAATTTGAAACGTGAAAAGTTCACGATGTGAAAATAAATGACTGAACGAGAAGTGTGTGTGTGTATGTATGTGAAAGATTGAGTTTTTATACGAGGGAAAAATAAAAGTACAAGTTGCAGGTTGAAATATTGTTTCTGAATCATTTAAGTGCAAATAAAATGAGAATCATCAAATACATAATTTTATTGCTAAAAGTAACTCACATTAATTTCAGTCAAAATAACGATTCATGTGAAATAAACAGGTTGAATAAAGGAAGGGTCCAATTACTTGCCAGCGAATATTTGCCAGGTAGTCGCTAGTTGAATACCATCCTTTCGGTTCAGGCTGTTCTTGTTCACCCATATAAACAGTGCTTCTGCTGTCAATTTTTCTTTATGAATGTTAAAAACTTTCTGAAGTATATTGGTACCTTCAAAATTAATCTTGTGTCCTGTTTGGGCGAATAAGTACAGCCTGAACGGAAAGGATGGTATTTAGCTAGTATAGATTTGATCTGATTTGATTGTTAAACGCTATATATTTCTTTGATGATTTTCATTATTACCCTGAAGGAGTCCAGACAAGTTAGCTGGACGAAACGTTGGAATTATTTTAAATTTCAATCGCTGAGATTATTTTCACATTTAACGTCTTCTCAATGCTCGGTGCCCAATTTTTGTCAAACTATTCGTTCTAATCTTGACGAATGTTTGTATATGTTACTTATCCTATTATTATTATTATTATTATTATTATTATTATTATTATTACTATTATTATTATTCATAATTCAGTCATATTTCCATTCATAATGATTATTATTTGATTTATTTGAAACACGACACCAAACCTTTCACAATATAACCGAACCATTTGGCATCTCTGTACTTAAACTATCTAGCCGATCAAATGATACATTTAAAAACTTGTTTGATCCGCTGTTATCACAGCTGTGACTTTACAGATTCTAATCATCATGAATAAGGTAAACAAATAAATCGACTTGTCTCAATATTTATTATTTTATGTTAAAAAGGTTGTATATAGAAAGTTTTCTTAGCGGTAAAATATCTGTTCTATATCTTACCTATAAACCAGACCATTTTGAAGTATTAAACATAATTTGAAAACTGATTGTTGAGTTATGGATACATTCACTGTTAGGTATAATCTATCATCTTTCTCTATGAATTTTGTTAGTATTTATTAAGTTGAATTCATATCCAAAACTCTTTATTAATTTACATTTTATCAATACTTTGAGACAACACATAAACGTACCTAACACGGATTTCATTTCAAGACCTCAAAGAAAAGCTAATGTTTCATTCCATGTTTAGGATTGGTGGTGATTAAGACTAGCTAATTATCATGATCACCACTACTGGACAGGTGGAATCGACACCTCAAAAACATGTGAAAAATGCTTATTAGCTGATTAACTTGAAAATCGGTATTGAAATTATTTCTCTCTCCCTCTCTCTCTATATATATGGGTTCGCTTTTCAGTAGAATCGTTTGGTAAAATCCACTCATTGCATTAGTTAAACTATAGAGGTTGTCTATATACATGTATTCGAAAGAATTCATACACAATAAAGTAAGAAGTGAATGAGAGAGGGTGGAATAAAAATGATTATACCACAAATTTAACATACCTTACAGTAAGGCCAGCGAAATTTAGGGTCGTATACACATAGTCACCACCAACAAACATTCCACCATAGGTCACCAATATATTCTATTCGGAAAGATGGAAATTAATTAGATTTAAAAAGTTTGAAAGCGATTAGTTATTACTTAATACTTCTAAAGATTTTCTTCTTTTACTTAATCTTATCATTATCAAATGGATAATCATCCTACAAAATTACTATCCACAATAATAATAATAATTTACATCAATATTTAGAACCATTAGGCAACCTTCTTTTAATTGCTTTTAGAAATTCAGTCAGGTTTAGGTATTAACAATAAGCCGACTTTCGAATAATCATTAAAATTCCCATTCTTTTCTTTAAATTAATCTCATTTATTCCGAAAAACATAACTAAACATCGAAACATTACACATCAACAATTGTAAGCTTGAATAACGTTAACTGTTTTTTAACGCAAAAATAATTATTCCTAGGAATATAAACAACAAAGTAACTCACTTTAATGACACCTAAAATGCTAGTTGTTAATGCAGAAGTATATTGAGTACATTGAACAAGAGTATAATTTAATGCCACAGCAGAACAACAGGAGAACATAAAATACAATAAAAATAGAGGATCTAGCCAATGTTCAAATTGAATAATCTATAAGAGAGAACAAAAAAAAGAAGAAAAAGAAAACGTTTTAGTGTTATGTGATGATAACTACAGTGGTCTTGAGTGCTGTTAGAGGTATGAGGGCGGTTATCACTTCCCGGTTGCCCACACCATAGAAGGGTCCTTCTGGAGGTGCCTGAACAGGAAATTGGATTAAAGGTGGTCTTAGAGACCTGAGAGTGTGACCGCAGTGCATAAGGGACAACTGCTTGAGGTCGGTCACACACGACCTTTTTGTGAGTAATTTTCATGTTAACTCTGTACTTGTTAAGACCTTACCGCCGGAGACGGATATCCGCGCGATAAAGCGAGGTGTGCATTTTAGGGTCGACCTTTTCTAACCAAATCCCTCCTTGTGGGAAGGCAGCATCGCTGTTATGCTGGTTATCTGAAGGAAACACCTTATTGTCGTCACACCTCTGTACAGTCAGCAGTACGACTTCGCCTTCGGACCTTGGTTTTGTTGCTTTTAGTCTTATCGCTCTTCAACCGACCTGTCTGGCATGGTAGGACCTTGAGGAACGGTTGTTCCAGCCAGTATAGCTCAGTTGCTTCATCACGATAGGCAAGCCCGACCACCACGTTAAGGTAGCAACAACGGTGGGAATAGTGTTATGTAGGCATCAATGTTAAGACTAAACTTGATAATTTAAAACGAATTGAGGATTGGGTAGAAAGTTAATAAATATATTTTCTGTTATATCGAAGTGAGTAGAAAAATTGTATTTCTCACGTTACGTGACTACATGTAAGCCACTTCTTCAGAGTAAATTCTACATTGTTACCTTTGCACCATTTAAACTTCTATTAATTTGATTCGGTTATTTATTTACTTTGAGGAAGTGGTTTACACTTAGTTACGAAGCATCAGAAATACAATTTTTCTACTCATTGAGATATAATAAAAAATATTTGTTAGAGCGTTATGTTTAGCCAATTAAATATGACGATAACAATGTACGAGTTAGAGTATTCTTTGAGATTTTAAGGGTGAAATATTTAAAAAATTAGTACTTAAAACAAAAACTTATCAATAATCAACCAGTCCCTTTTCGAAGAAAAGTTAAAGCAATTAGTCCCTTTGATAAATTTGGATAGTGTAATGAGTAGACGAAGATTACCAGAACTATGTAAAGCCTTGGTTATACGAATATTTAAACTCTGTTTATGTATTCAAAAGCAGTTTATTATTCAGCACGGCGAGTTTCACATTATTTTCCTCATTATCTTCGTTTCTGCTAACCTTCCATTTGTCTAGTTGACCTTATATTATTTTCACATAGAAATGTTCTTAACAAGTATATGTGAAATGTATTGTGCTAATATATCACATAATTGTGATAATCTTCGTCTCATTACACTATCTGAAGTAAAGCTAATTTAAGTAGAAACAATAGTAGTGATATTTCAGTTAAGGAAGGTCAGATGTTTATCATTGAGATGACAACGTAAAACTATTTCACATTGTTCAGCATAAACATCAATAAACTTATCATAAATCCTTTAGTTACTTTCACACTGAAATATTATATCAATCATAAAAATATTACAATAACACGGAATATCGAAATTTAGGATGTTAGAGATATACATTATTGATAATAAATTTCAAATAGGCAAACCAATCAGGTAGAGACAAAACGTGGTATCAGTCCTTGAAGTCACTAACTTGTAGCCATGTTGGTAGATACAGACTACTTGGTTGGGGTCCGCGCGACTATCGTAACCAATGATTGGAGACTCTGGGTGACATGGATTGGAATCGACCACAGTGGCGTAGGTGTACACACTCTATGTCTTCTCTTGCACCGTGAGATTAAAATTACTTTATGCCTTTCTTCCTACGAACTAATTCTTTGTTCCTGTACTATGTCCTTACATGCAACATTTCTTTTATACATTACTATCATTGAAGTAACTACTTCTATGAATGTGGTGTTTATTTTGTCGTGCTAGTGAGGTATGGCAACTTGGATCGATGCATATATGTGCCTGGTTCTACGTTGTAGATGAAGGGCTGACTGATGATTAATTTCTCAAGCCAATTTGGTTCTTTCAGTCCATATCTATGTCATCCGCCCCAGTTAATGTTTTTGTATGAATATAGTGGACGTACATATATATTTCGTTTTAGAACAACGGATTCGATTTTTTATTGGAAATGAGACAAATTATCGAAATTCATCAAACAGATATCACGGACGTATTGGTTAATAAAAAATTACGTACCTCTGTAAAGTCACATTGTACATATACCAAAATGAAGAGAATTGGCAGCATTAATAATGAATTAAAGTATATCAGCTCAACGCTTGAAAAATCATAATCTCTAAGTCTGGATTTTGTTAACAGTGCTTTCCCAGTTGTTGAAATATTGTTAATTAAAATATATGTATATCCAATAGGGTCAAAAGTAATATCACCACTAAATCAGAATGTTTATAAATAATCATGAAAGATCACTTACATGGCGGCGATTACTGCTCCGACAACCATAACAATGACTGACAAGTAAATAGGAATACTTCTTTTAGTCCTGTGAATGTTAAAATTAAGGAGAAACAAGCAGATACCCCAATAAAAGATATTCACCAACCATAATGAGAACATTAGAAATTCTTCGCAAAGCAGTAAACAAAGGTAAACTGAATACATGATTTAACTGTAATTAAGCTACCTGAGGCTTCCTGTACCAGCAATGCCCATAACAATGTCAACTGCAGAAAAAATGGACAGCGGTAAAATCTACATTAGATCAGCAATTTAAAGTTTATTTCAAATAACATGCCTTAATAGGAACTTCTGTGAAATCATCTGATCGGATGCGATATGAACATAGAGTTTGTATTAGTAAGAAAGTAAACAGAGTCTAAAAATAAATGCCGAGGAGGTTATAGAAGTAACTAACTTGAATTAATGCCAGCAATAAATATGAAGGAAATCTGTGAGATGAGGTTATACAAGCGCAGGCACTTACTTGAAAGTAGTCAGGACTAATTTGTTTGAAAAAATGATAGAAATAGAAAAACTCATATATATCAGGGCGACTAAAGCAATTCTCCGTACAGACATTTCGACGATTTAAAATTTGACAGATTATAATTTCTTCAAAAAGTATTGAGGAACTTGAGTTTTTTTTACTTTATTTCCACTGAGTAAACTAAAAAACAACAGTATAATTAGTCATAACATCAAATATAAATATAATAAAACTAGTTAACAGATATTTGCATGTACAGGCGGCCTGCTTGAATATCTGGGCTACCTGTTCCTGCCATCTAGATATTTAAGCAATTTATTTGTTTCCTTGTTTGTTTTAGCAGATCATTATATTAATTAATTGCATAACTTATTCGGGTGGGTTTGTGTAACGTTTGCCACCTTTCGCTGTACAAGTTAATAAAATTTACAATAGGAGACATCGTGATGGCTGGCAATGTGTATTGAAAGGACGAAAATTATTCGGATGTAGGCTTCTGAAATGCTACTATCTAACTGGCGATCACTCAATACTTACCGTCAATATCGATCAAGAAATAAAAAAGGGAAACTCGGTGAAATAATTTGTGCCGAGAATTCTATGATGTACCGGAAATATAATATTGAATAAAGCTAATAATAATAATTTAACATAATCTTCATCAGCAAGTTATTGTTGGGGACGGTAGATCCCCAAAAACTCATAGTTTGTAATTTATCTTGTGGAGCTTGTATGCAGATGTATACGTGGGCATTTCTTACCGCCCACGCACATAGTTGATTGACGAAATTATCGATTAAATGTTTCAAAGCTTCATGACAATATCGATGTATATATAATTGTATATATGCGTTTTAAAATTGTCTTTGTAAAAAAAAGTTTGCTGGTTTCTGGTGGTTACTGAATATACTTCTCATTTCAAGCCGGAACTTCTTCCTCTAGTTAACTGGGGCTGGGACGCGTCAATAGATAGCTTACTGGTCGTTGGTCACTGAATCTCGTTCTCGTTCGCAAACTACGTGAACCCGTGATCTCTCTCTCTCTTTCAAAACCTAACCGTTATTTAGCTCAACTCATAAAAAGACAGATATTTATCAAAGACCCCAGGAAACAGTCCAGTCAGAATTAGAATTATTTCAAATATCTAGCTTATCCTTACCGCTTTAAGGCTTTGTATCCAATTATTGGCAAATGTTGTTTAGGTGTGGTATTCTTGTTTACTAGTTCATTCAATTTCACTGGTGAACGTTGTATATGCCATATGCTACATAAACAGCTGGACGTTTGGTTCAGAAGAGTATCAGTTAGTAGATACAATGGTCACTTAGATGTGACCGCAGTTAATGCAAACAAACCTTCTGATCTTTACGTTAACTCTATGTGTGAACTTATTCGATACCACCACTCAGCTAATTTCTAACACGCCTACACAAATTGTTTAACTCGACCTGTAGTTATTCGAAAGTAACTGTAGGTTCCAAGTCCAGGTAAAGAAGGAGGGTTGGACACTGAGTCAGCATCCCCGTCTCGTTGAAAAACCCTGAGCATGAAAAAATAATCCATTTAAAGGGTCTGCATTCAGAAGAACTATGACGCCTCATGGTAAAAGTCGAGATTCTTCGAAAGTCATGAGGTCAACGCCCCTTCTGACAACCAGACCAACAGATAATATAGGCACATGGAATGTCCGGACAATGTGGGAGATCGGAAGGACCAATCAAATAGCTATGGAAATGAGGAGATATAACATGGCGATGCTCGGAATCAGTGAAACCCATTGAACCCAAGATGGACAGAAAAGGTGAGACTCAGAAGAGATGCTATTGCGTTCTAATCATGAAGAACAAAATGCTTCACATACTCAGGGGATTGCTCAGATGCTTTCCAAAGAAGTACGATAAACACTTATAGGATAGGGATCTAAAGGGTCCAGAATCATCAAATCATTCTTCAAAACAAAGATCACAATGAATGTTATCAGGTGTGACGCACTCACCAATGATAGCAACGACGACGACAAAGATTGGTTCTATGAGAGGCTGCAATAGATCGTTGCAAAGTGCTCAGGAAACGACCTGGCCATCTTCATGGGAGACCTAAGCACCAAAATAGGAATGGACAACACCGGGTATGAAGATATCATGGAACGATATGGAATGAGAGAAAGGGACAAGAATGATGAAAGATTTATAAGTTTATGTGCATTTAAAAAATGGCTATAGAGGACGAAATATTACCACACAAACGCACACACCAAGCTACACGGGTCTCGCCGTATCACACCCCAGAGAACCAGATAGATCAAATTTAAAAAGCTCAGAAGGTTAATGGAAGATGTGCGAACCAGGAAAGGAGCTGACAGAGCTTCGGAAACGGAAAGGAGTATTACCAAAAGATACACTGCATCGGGAATCCGAAGCAGACATCAAAAGAATAAATAGCAAATGGAAAGTAGTGCTTGAGACAGTCCGATGGAGAATGCTGGAGGGCGGCCTATGCCCTTTCACGAGGGGTTACAGAATTAAGTAAGTATACAGTGAACATATAACGGAGGAACTATTGTATGTCATCATAGGTTTATCATCAGCTTGACCTCTCTCAAACAAAACATTACAAGGTTGTCCTCGGAGGTGACTCCAAGTTCTCACTACTTCCATTAGCGAAAATGGACGATGACCAAACTTGCAAATTAAGCTTTGTAAAAACCAAAGCTTCTTCACAATTAGCAACTGAGTGCTTGTTTGTGAACAATATTTGACGTGCTTGGGTGACACAAAGTTAGTATCGATTATGAAGCAAAAGTGTCCTGATTTATACAAGACTCCATACAGTATTGTAAATAAAATAACCTACTACTTGACCATTCTTTAAACGTTTGGTACTTAAGTTTGACAAAACTAACAATAACAGATAAAACTAAAATTTACGGACGACTTTGAGCGACGCTAAGATGACCTTGAAAATGCCCATTTACTAAGGCTAAATGAGGGTTATAAACGAGTGCAAGGAATTAGGATTACAATTTACTGTTGATGGTTACTGTTAAGAATTAAAATTAGAGTTCTCATCACGAACTGACATCAGCGAAAATACCAAAAGGCTATTTAGCCAAACAGATGGAAGAATTTTAAAACTCTGACACAATTTTGTCAAAATTCAAGACTTGTTAAATTATAGTTATGCCATACACTGAAACACATGTTAAACAAACTGAAGTGTCTTCAGGAACACCTGAAACTGGACATTTTATCATGATTCGCGTTTGACCAATTAGTAATTTCTGAAACATATAAAGAATTTCAATTTCGAGCGTATTATAAAATAAAAGTTTGACACTTCGAAAACATTGTAGGAATTGTGCCTTCGAACGCCTTCTTTTGTATTTCGGCTTCCCGTTACTCTATGCGTTTTTCCTAGGTTTGATGTCAATTTAAGCATGACAGAATTTCAAGAATTTTCCGTGTGAACGACTCAGGATACAACTTTAGGTTCTGTGTTAAGGTGCCACCGGTATTCGGAGTTTGACGACGCGTTTGCACGTGATATCTTTATAATCGAAATATGTCAACACAGCAAAATCAGAAGTCAGAAATGTAGGTGCCCGAAGATTTATTCGAAGGCTATCGATATGTTGGGAAGTGTTTGGTCTAAGCTGGGTAGAACTTGCAAGGGATGTGTAGCAAGGCGTACCCACTGGTGATATGGTGCGGATTCGTGACCGAAAGCTTTCAGCTAGGTGTGAGGATTAAAACCAGTGAGATCGGCATCAAATGTCGAAGACTCATAAAAGTATTTATTTTAGGGACTTATTAACCGTTACAAGTACTTTCCGCTCCGTGTATATATCAATATCAATGACAAACGATTTTTTGTGTTTCATGTTGGACAAAATGCAAAGTTTCGACGCCGACACTCGCAGTAGAAGAAAGAATGATAGTGAGTAGGGAACTGAAACTTATCGTAAATACAAACTTCGAAATGCTGCAGAAATATCGCACATATTTCAGGATACATCAGTTTCAAATTTTTGTTCAGTATTTAAAGTCCCCTTGGACAGTCTTCAATTTACGACGTTTGGAATATCCTGTCTTTTTATTGGCACTAAATTAACACTGGTACGTTAATTCTGTTCATAAACATTAGTTACACCATGACTGTGTATAGCAGCGAGAGCAACACTATCTTCCTGTGGCTGATTTCTACCACCTACCTCCTTTTACTTGTATCTGTAAATAAATCCCCAAGATCAATGGCACTGTAAGTCCTCAACAAGTGATACTGACCGCATTAGTTTTAATGGACTCACTCAGGTGAAGGTGCTTTGTCAATCATCTGCACCAGATCATGATGGGGTACACCGTGCTTCACATCTCCTACAACCTCCCACCAGCTTAGATTAGTCACTTCTCGATATAATGATATTCTATCAAAAGTATGCTCGAACATCTTCACTTCTGACTTCTGATTTCACTGGGTTGGTATACTTCGATTATAAAGGTGTTACTGGTAAAAGGCACTGTCAACTTCTGAATAATTGTGGCATCCTTAGTGGTGAAGCCAACGTGATCTTCTACACCAAACAATGAACTGTTAGTTTCTTCTCGGAACATTATATGTCATTTTTTCCTTCAATTTTTACATATCATGATATTTTTAAAATATTTCTGGATATTTTTTCTTATCTATTGTTATACCTTATATTCGTCATGGCCGAAAAGATTTAAATTATTTAAGACCAAGTCTCTTACGTCACCCTAATTTCTTCTAATGCCATTCTGGCTCAACAACATTAAAGCCTGGTTCTGCTACACAGGAGCACGGTGTGATCGATCCACGTGCATAATTCATCGCAATGGCTAAGGCACTACCACGCAAATTCAACAGGTACGTCACACTTAGTATGTCCACTGATGATGGACACCAATCGATGGTCTAGTATGTCTCGGAACTTTATGAAAATTAATAATAATATATCTCTGCCAGGTCAGGTATACAGCATTTTTACAGGCATGATCTACAAATTACAACAAGTTTGCTTACAGTATGCTTCCCAAGTATGGCCGTTAAACAGATGAAATCGGTAAAAGTAAATAACAATACATTTTTGTAAATTTTTTAGGACGTTAATGATTAGGTTTATGCGCTGATACTACACTGAGTACAATTTTTAAAATGTCTTCCTAAGTGGCATCACGTCCACGTTACACACCAGATCCAAGCTCGGTGATGAGAACATTTACAAGACAGGACCCACAAATACACTTTATTCTGTACTATGAGACATCCCAGTGACTTATTCTGCTAGATAACATATAATTAGCTCTGAGTTGGATGGATACGTAAACCATGCCTCCATCACACACAATATAGCCCAAAAAGTCTGGATTTACTCTCACAAATCTTAATGGTTCGGAGGCTCGAGATTCATTACACTCAGACTCCAAAGTTGCTGTCATCATATCGAGAGTATGCACTTTTAACTGTAACAACAAAGTATCGATAATGAGGTGAGGTTTACTGGTCTAGAGGGTATTATAACTTAATTAGCCTGATTTATTTACGAGTCAGCAGACTTCTTTAATGACCCGCTGATTGACGACGGCCCGTTTAGTGTTACTGTGAAGGAGTCTATCTGTAGGTATTAAGTGAGGTCGTCGAATCATCAACTGTTTTCGTTTAATGTTGTCTAATCCAGTCTTGGTGATAACTCTAGTATGGGTGAAGAATAGTGCTGGCCGGGTGTTTAATAATGGGATGTATTGAATCAGCGAATATTAGCATCCGAACCCCACTGTGCCAGGATTAGTTCTGATTTTTCCCCACTCTCAGTTGTGTTGAGTCAAGTTCGTTGACGTTAAAAAATGACAAAAATTACAGCAAATAGCTTCATAATATATGTGGGTGGAAATCGTTAATGCTACTAAATGAGACAGAGTGTAATAACCTTCCTGATATGTTGTAAGTAAAGGAGACTGGATTTAAGTGACTACAACTAGTTAAACATATACGCAATTAAATTAGGACTGTTTCGAATTAACAATGAATAGGATAAGCACAATCTGTTCGTTTCATATCCATAGGTCTTTACCTGGAGACATCTGGAATTTATGGTTACCAAACACAAAACCCGTTAATCATAAGTCTCTGTCACTTTGACGGCCATTTCGACAATTTGATCTCTGTGAGAAGACCTATATGCCAAGGGAGTTTTTTCGTTATTAGTACTTAGACTCGTCTTCTTTGCTCACTGAGTTGGCTCGATCAGACCTGAAGCCATTTACTTACATCGAATACATCAAAGTTAAATCAGTTCTCGATCAACTGTAAGACAGATTGAGGGTAACCAACTTTTCAATGCCAGTTTCGATCGATTGGAGTGGATCAACCGGTAATATTCGGGTTAAGCACATGCCGCATAAGACTTACAGAATCACAGGCTGACTGTTATTATGATCTGTAGCCGTAAGCAAATAATCAAAATAAATAGTCCTGTCAGTCTTCGAGAGTGACTCTCACCCCATTAGTTCTACTGGACTGGTCGTGCCTCCACACCAGGTCACGGGTGAGTACGTCATGCTACACATGGCTTGGAACCACTAGCAAGCCTCTCAGTATATCTCGTTCCTGACTTCCGATTTGACCGTTTCGACCCCACTAAATCATAAGGGTATTCAGTGCTAACGCCTGATGCTAGATTAAACCAACTTACCAAGACGTTTAGGCCCTCTTCAAGTGTACATATATTAACATCCTGTTCTAATTGTTTAAAGCTTTGATTTTATCAGCCTAAAGCAGTATCAGCGGCCAAATGATAACAGGTGTGTACCGTAAACGACATGGAAATAAAGATGCTACAAGTATTCAGAAGTTGACAGTGCCTTTTACCAGTAACACCTTTATAATCGAAGTATACCAACCCAGTGAAATCAGAAGTCAGAAGTGAAGATGTTCGAGCATACTTTTGATAGAATATCATTATATCGAGAAGTGACTAATCTAAGCTGGTGGGAGGTTGTAGGAGATGTGAAGCACGGTGTACCCCATCATGATCTGGTGCAGATGATTGACAAAGCACCTTCACCTGAGTGAGTCCATTAAAACTAATGCGGTCAGTATCACTTGTTGAGGACTTACAGTGCCACTGATTTTAGGAATTGATTTGCATATTTTCATATTTTTTCCTTATCTTTGGTGAAAAGTTTACCAGTATGTTTTCAACCTTTTGAATTGTAGTTCCAAACCTTTTTAAATATTCGGCATTTAAAGGAGTATATTATAGTCTATTGTAAAAGATTTCAAGTTGTCGACATTCGACACCAAATACTTAATTACTTATGCCTGTCACCCTGTAATGGCATTGATTTCTAACCACACGGCCTTTGAAACCGAGCATGTAACCACTGAAAAAATTTATATTCAACAATTATCACGAAGAGAGGGTCATTATGCAGTATGCCGAATATTTATCCGCTCGATCGGCATCGCGTGGCTCAGCATTGTAGGCGTGGCTATTCTTGTGTAACTCATACCTTTCCACATCAATACATTATTCTGTCCCAGTCAAAATGTGCTGTCCTTAGTCTATAAGTATCATACCATTAACTGTCACGATTCGATGAGTCAGTATAGACAATGATGTGAATTTCAAGTAAGATCTCCTAAATTAAGTAGCCACATCATAACATGTGTAGAATTATGATCTATTATGATATTAGTACTGCTTTAATGATAGACCTAATCCTAAAATTGTAGATTCGTCATGATATGA